GTGGAGTGATGGTGGGTGTAGCAGGTGAACTGCTCTTGTGCCTGCCAGGAGGAAAGAGCTGTTCCCTGCTTGCTAGAGCCAGTGGGCTGAGTGCACAGGGAGGAGCCTCTATGCTGTGCCCCTGTATCTACAATTGGCCAGTCCACCCTCTGGCTGACCTCATGCAATGGCAGGGGCAGCCAGTTTCCAAGCCGGTGCCTACCAGGATGAAGGAGCAGCAGGCTGTGTATTGCCATGGGGTCCTCATAGTTGTGTTGCCAGCCACAGGGATGGAGCACCTGAAGCTCCTGAAAGTTCCCAACCTGCTGGGCAGAGTGTGCTGGGACAATATTGTCTACTTGTCCTTTCTCCTCAGCAGCAAGCTCTGTCTAATCCTTGCCCCTTTGGCAGCCCTATTGATGTTAAGAAATCTCTCAGAGTGCCCTTGAACTGCTGTGAGTAACTGTTCTCCATAAGTGGCTAGAATCTCAGTCTCTCCAAGTATTCCACCTGTCTTCGCTTTCCAACACCACTAATCTCCAGAGCACCATGTAATGTAGGTTTATGCTCCCAGCAGATCTCCAGGGCTAGGTGTTCAGCAGTTCTAGGCCTCCACCCCCTCCCCACTCCATTTCTCTTCATCCCACAAGTGAGCTGGTGTGGGGAAGGGCTTGGGTTCTGACAGATCACAGCTTTGGTACTTTACCCTTTTCCTTGAGGTCTACCAAGTTCCCCATGGCAGCCTTCTTTCCTTTTGCTCTTTCAGGATTAGTTGTATTTGCTATATTTTCAAAGTGTATGTGGTTTGGGGAGGAGGTTTCTTTCTCACCTCTTATGCTGCCATCTTTAATCCCATCATCTCTTTATTATATTTGCCCTCTGATATGTGAGGGAGTAGAAGCTTAATCAGTATTCCTATGTTGAGTTTTAAGTATCTTTCATCTGTTCAATGGCACTGGAATATGTTTTCCTTTCAGAAATGACCTAACCCTATGTTTAAGGGTTTCATTAATAAAATAAATAAATCCAGTATCATGTCACACAATTATAAACTCATCTGTTTTTATAGTCATGTTTTTGAATGTCTCTCCTCCACAGATCATTTTCCGTAAAATCAGTGATGTGAAGAAAGAGGAGGAAGAACGCCTCAGACAGAAGAATGAGGTCACCCTCAGCATCCCTGTGGACCACCCAGTCAGAAAGCTCTTCCAAAAGTTCAAGCAGCAGAAGGAGCTGCGGAATCAAGGGTCAGCGCAGGGTGACCCTGAGCGGAACCAGCTCCAGGTAGAAAGCCGCTCCTTGCAGAATGGAGCCTCCATCACTGGCACCAGTGTGGTCACTGTGTCACAGATCACACCCATTCAGACATCTCTGGCCTACGTGAAAACGAGTGAGGCCCTCAAGCAAAATAACCGCGATGCCATGGAACTCAAGCCCAATGGTGGTGCTGACCCCAAATGTCTCAAAGTCAACAGCCCAGTAAGAATGAAGAACGGAAATGGCAAAGGGTGGCTGCGACTCAAGAATAATATGGGAGCTCATGAGGAGAAAAAGGAAGACTGGAATAATGTCACTAAAGCAGAGTCCATGGGGCTATTGTCAGAGGACCCCAAGGGCAGCGATTCAGAGAACGGTGTGACCAAAAACCCATTAAGGAAAACAGATTCTTGTGACAGCGGGATTACAAAAAGTGACCTTCGTTTGGATAAGGCCGGTGAGGCCCGAAGTCCGCTGGAGCATAGCCCTGTTCAGGCTGATGCCAAGCACCCCTTTTATCCCATTCCTGAGCAGGCCTTACAGACCACACTGCAGGAAGTCAAACATGAACTCAAAGAGGACATTCAGCTGCTAAGCTGCAGAATGACTGCCCTGGAAAAGCAGGTGGCAGAGATTTTAAAAATACTCTCAGAAAAAAGTATGCCCCAGACCTCTTCTCCCAAATCCCAGATGCCACTCCAGGTACCTCCCCAAATACCATGTCAGGATATTTTTAGTGTTTCGAGGCCTGAGTCACCCGAATCTGACAAAGATGAAATCCACTTTTAATATATATACATATATATTTGTTAATATATTAAAAACAGTATATACATATATATACATATGTGTGTATATACAGTATATACATATATATATATATATTTTCACTTGCTTTCAATATGATGAACACAGTATGGATTTTGATATGTAAATATTGCATGTCCAGCTGGATTCTGGCCTGCCAAAGATGATTATTTAAAAACATAGATATTGCTTGTATATTATGCAGTTGACTGCATGCACACTTTACATTTATTTATAATCTCTATTCTATAAAAAAAGTATGATTTTTGTTAACCAAGGCAATGTAATATTTGAACAATCAGGGTCCAACCTGCCAATGTTGCCATGACAAATTTGATCTCAGGCTGAGTATATTGAGCTGCCATTTCCTCACTGTTCTGTTTAGTTAAAATGGTGGTTTATTGCAAAGGAAGAGTTCAACCTCTTAAACTGTTTGCATCACTTTATAATTTCTTTCCATAGGATGTTTTTCTGTAATTTAGTGCTAGATTATTTTCTCCAGCAGGCAGGGTTTGTTCCATTTAAATGACTGTTTTGTTGCCTAAGTCAGATAGCAGTGTGCAATACTGAGAACGTATTGCTGTGGGTTTTGTGCATGAATTGCATTTTCGCTCAATTATACTTCTCCTTCTTTAACATTCTACTTGGATAGTAATCATTGACTCTTATGTAAGGCAATCTCTGCTCCCTCCGTCTTGGAGAAGAGCTGCCATTTTATCAATCCCATAAATACTAAACTATTAATAGAGTGTATATTATTATAGAAACACTGCACCACAGGGTAAAAGGGCCTTTTAACAATTTGTATGTTAGAGATGCTGATTTTCCAAAGGTGATGAATGTTCTAAATTTGTGTTTCTCAAGCTTGTTCAAAGGTGAAGTTGGAAGTCTCTTAGAAAGAAACAAGCAGAAAATATTGAATCATTTCAAAATTTGAACTATAATGATATAAAATAAAAAATAATGTAAACAGATAGACAAGTTTTTGTAGTGTATCAGTAACTTAGGAAGAATGAAACACAGGTAAGGAATTGTTCGCACATGATTGTTACTCTTTGTAGAGATGCCACATGAAAGTGGTTTAAAAAAACAACTAAAAAGTAGAGGTTAAGTTGCTCAATTCAGATACCTGCTTTTCTATAATATTATTGTGGTTACAATTTTGTAAAGCTTTTTTGCACACAGTTCTACTGCTGGACTTTTGCATTGATACAATAGACTGCTGTATGTGGGTCAGGCAGATCCACTAATTGAAAGGGGCTACTAAAGACTGAATTTCAGAGTCTTTGGGTCACAAATCCTCTTCTTAGAAAGTGCCTCAACTACAAAAAAAAGTCACAAAGTTGTGTACAGCTAGTCCCTTAAATGATATGTATTGGGAATAAAATAATGTTCATTTGCCAGAACCCAGAAGAATTTATTTCTTTTGACTAATGGATATTTTATGAAGTTGATCAAAGAGGTATACTTTTGAATTGGTGCATGCATGACTTTTAATAATGGAAGCAGGGCAGTTAATTGTTTGCACCAAGTTGAAAGTATATTCCAGTAATCTGTACATTATCAGACCATCTGTACATATACATTAATGACATACACAAGATGATAGCAAAATCAAAGGAAATATTTTGATCTATTGTACCCATTTGTATGAGCTTTTCTATCTCCTAGCATCCCCAAGCAAAACCATCAGAACTGAAAGACAAGTTATCACAATCAGACTGGAGATATGCCAGACAAAGTAATTTATAAGAAAAACAGTTGACATTTTACAATTTCTATTAGAACATCTTCACATGCCCATAAGATGTACCTCTTTAATCCAGGAATCTCAGAATAGGTGTTATTTGCCGTGGTTCCATATTCCTTTCTTTGTGCTGTAACGTCCATTACCCATAATGGAAGTTTTCAGGGGAGCCTATCTTCGTGCTATGTTGCAGTATCTACTCACCATTGGCACAAGATGATGAGGTGATCATGGTGTAAGAAATCAGCCTTGAAATTGGGACTTCATTACTTTCATGGTGAGGATGGTACTTTGTTCTTGACCTCTGGCATTTATTGGATTTCAGGTCATTTGTCTATTTAACCATGTATGAGACTAGCATAGCTAACTAAGCTTTTAAAGGTGAATGAATGGTAAAAATAAGCTGAGTACAGGAATGGTCAGTTTAACTTTAGCCATGTGTTTCAAAAGTAGTGGTTGGTATAAAGGTATTAGACAGCGAGTGTGAACCAGCAGCACAGTTTGAAGTTGCAATCCATGCCTTTGCTTGTTAGTGGTGCAAATATTTACTGTTCTGACATTGACTCTATTTCAGCTAATGGACCTACAACATTATCATTCATGTGTATGGAAAAGAAACATGGCTTTGAACTGCAGGTTGTCACAAAGAGGGGAAGGAAGTAGCAATTGCTTATTTATGATGCAGTTATCATACTGTTCTTTTCTGGCCACCTTTATTCCTATGTGCATGACATGCCGAGGTGCTGAATGTACTCTCTTGTTTTCAGTAGGAATGCATGTGTTCAGCAAACGTTGTATATATTCAGTAGTCTTTTAGTCCCATATTCCATGATTCTTACCAGTTGAACTTAACTCAGATTTGAATGAAGGGTGAGCACTTGCTTTAATATGTGCAATAACGATATGTCATGTTGTGTGTTGCCTCAGCCAGCACACAGACAGTAGATTCTCTTTTGGAGGACCAGACAACTGCATGTTTTATTCTTACACTGTATAGATGCTCTTGGTGCATCAAGAATAAAGATTTTATTATTATATTTCTGAACAATGTACTAATAAGAGTAAATGGATATGTACTTAAAAGCCAAACATTTTCCAAAAGCAACTTGTACTCCTTCAATATTTTTCTATGGTAATCTATATGATCAAATGCTCTTACTTGGACAGGTGGTTGTAATGTAATAGCAAAAATCAAACAAAAATGGAAATACAAACTGTGCATCATAATGGCAATTTTTATCAGTCTACATTAGGATATTATTTCACTAAATGTGGTCTGGTAGATAGAGGAGCTTACTATCAAGGGCAAATAGGCATATAAAAGACAGATGACAATACCAAAGTACTAGTGCCCCACATTGACATAAATAGTACTCAAAAGGAAGGGTTCAGGCATAGATGTTAGAGACACATAATTCATTGTTAAATTGAAAAATTTTCATCATGATGCTGGTTTCCTATCACATTAAGTATAGAAATACAAATGTCCTAAGTATTATGTTAAAAAGATTATATAGAGCAGAGCAAGAGAATTAGTAAACTTGGAGTTTTAAATCTCTCCTAAGAACAAATGTATACTCCTGGAGTACCCAACACTTTAACAGGAATATTAATTCTAACCATTAACTAAAGTGCTATTTTGAAAATTAATCTTACTGGGGCCCAAGTGCAAATCCCAGTTTCCCTTAAATGTAAGGAGATTTTGTTCACCTGTGAGATCTGGCCAAATTTCTGTTCAATTTTAAATAACTGAATTCTTTTAGAGAGCTTTTTTTTTTTTTAAATTAGTCTTCAGAGCAGTGATTGTTTTTAGGTGGGCAGTGGCTGGTACTGGTGACATTACTGGTCATATTCCTAATGAATTCTGCTATTGTATATAATTTTAATCTTGTATGTAATTTTATCTGTCTCTTTTCCAAAATTTTATGGAGGTATTAAGACAATTTGTCTAGAATGTACATATCATACATGAATAACTGTAAAATATCGGTATTTTGTAATTATGTGAATGTTGTATTTCAATATTTTGTTATGGATAAAAGCATTTCTCTTGTGACCTTGTTGGAAAGGAGAGAAGAAAGAACAGTCTTTTGGAAAACATGCTAGGATGAGTAACTGAGCTCCACCTTGGACTATGAATCTAGTTTTCCTCAATGACAGTGCAATTCTGGGCAAGTTAACTGTCCAGGGCTTCAACTTCCCCCATCAATAAATAAAATAAAGATAACAAATGCTCCCTTCTTATATCAAGATGGTGTTAGTTCAGTGGAAAAGTCAACTTCCTCTCAAATGAAATTCACATTATCATTTTTTTTCTTTTGTTCATAGATCAGCTGAGATGTGATCTCTATGTGTTTAGAGAAGATTTCACTGGTCAGAGTTTGGTGGAGAAAGACATCAGTGACTAAGTAATTAGTGGCATGTGAGCAAAAGACTTGAAAATTATCTGAGAAGTTAGAATTACTAATTTCAAATAAACATAGAAGAATGAAGGTCTTTTGAGGGAAGGAAGAGAGAAAAAGACATGTAAATACTGTGATGTTTCTTATTCTACTTAACCATGCTGCTCAGCAGAAATTCTCAATTTTTGTGAGGAAAACTAAACAAATTGTTGAGTATTCAATGGTATAGAACAATTCATCTTTCAACTTTTTGTGTAAAATAATCATGACTTACTCAAGATATATGACTCCTCATAGACAGATCTTCTGTAACAAAATTCCTACCTATAAAAGAATTCTTTCCAATGACCAGTTAATTTTTCAATGTGTATTTTGAACTGGAAAAAAAAAAGGTTAAAAAAAGAAAACCACTCATGTTACTGTGTCCTAAGTTAGAGTTCTTTAATTTAAAAATTTATGTGATTGGTAATATTGGTAACTCAAGGAAGCCACTTATAGCATGTAAACATTTTGTTTTTGAAAATAAGATTAATTATGTTAACATTTGTTCACTCTACAGAGAGTCTTGTATCCTAAGGGATATACTCAAACCTGCAGTCACTACATTTGTCATGACCCTTTGGGTAAAGAAAATAGAGCACATAGAAACAAATGGGAAACTTTTATGCACTATAAGAGCTACTTCCATCTCTTACTGGATTTTTTAATCTTTATAAAAAGCCAGAATTTAAAAACTGTTATTATAAATTAGAAATTAGGCATTATTTTGAAAGCAGACACAATTTCTCAATTTAAAGAAGGATTAGTTATAAATGCCTAATATATTCAAGTAGTATTAGAAGAGATTTAAGGGATTCAGTCATCACTGGCCATGACTTTGTACTATTCATTGTAACTTGATTTATTTGCTAAGTGGTCAGTAACATTTATATTTTTATTCACTGTGATAGGTCTATGGCATTCCAAATTATAATCTCATTACATATGTATTCTACACATATGTAAATAAGTATTTTCAATCACCTGATCTCATGTAACTTTTGTACTTACTGCCTAAACATTGTTAGCGGCTTAGATAATAAAAACTCTTTAAACTATGGCATGACACTCATTGTGTTTTAGCTGGTTGGTATAGATCAATTTGACAGTATAGGAAAGATTCTTCTTATCTTGGCCCAGGAAAACAAACCACAAAGTGATGTATGTGGGACAACACAATCAAAATAAAATCAAGACCACATTTTAAATAGGTTAGTGGAACCAGGCTCCTGAGCTTGCAGGAGTCCAAATCAGGATTTGTGTTCCTATGTTTGGAACAAATCTACAAAGAGGAGCATAAAATTTAGATGCATGGAGATCTAAGCATGGTCACTGGCAATGCCTATGGGTTCAATCAGATCAACTCTGGTGAGTTCATATAGATTTTATGTTGTCTTAGCTTTGCTGGTCTGCATTGTGTTGACTGTTTTTTGTAAGTATGTGCGGCCTACTCAGTGAGAAGATTTGCTAATGATGGATTTGCCATTTGTCAACAACAAAAAAAAGAAAAGTGTGGACGGGAGTAACCACAACAGGGCATATGTACAGAAACAAAACTGTAACATTTACATTTCTGTAGTTACAGCTTATTTTTCCCATTGGCACATCACCAGGCAAAACAAAAGGACAAATTCGAAGGAATTTCCAAGTGTCAAAGAGTCTTTAAACATTAAATAATTGTACAAAACTTAATGTAATCTTAGGACTCAAGTATTAAATTCTAACATATCTATGCTGCATATATCTTTCTTTAGTATCAGGTTTTCTCATTCTCAAGCGAAGGAGGGCTATATGAGATGTTTCTGGTATACCCATGAATCAATTATAAAAAATGTAGTTTTAACAATGAAGCTACAGAATCATCATTAAAAGAGACACATGGTCAGGTTTTCCATCCCTCTTTCCTATGAGATTTAGATCTTCAATAAAATATTTTTGTCAGACTTTATTTTCAAGAATCATCACCACAAGATTAATATTAGTTCACATTTGCATTCATTCTTTTTGGCATTTGACATTCACCTTTTATTTCTCTGTAAAGGTGTCTATTACTTTTTAACAAATTTACAGGTCTTTTATCTCTTGGATTTTACCAAACTTTTCTCATTGAGAACATTTCCAGTGCTAGAGATTTAGATGCTAAAAAGAAGAAATGTGAGTTATTCAATATTTCACATTTAAAAAACAATTGACTTCTTATTTTAGGATAAAATGCTTACTCTGAATTCCAGCGGTTTCATTTTCCATCCTTGATATTTGTCCCCCAAAACCACTAAAAAAAAGAAGGCTCAAAACTTTTCTTTGACCCTAGGTCCTTTTCTACGTTGGAAATGGTGAAGATAGACATTTATGAAATTATAAATTTGATCTTTATTTTGTTTTCATGATAAATTTCATTAAAAAATTCTCACAATTTTGAAAATGGTATTATTTCCAAATGTCATAGTGAAAATCAGTTTTAGGTCATAAAGTATGTGAAAATGAGAAGCACTAAAAAAACAAGAAGCACATTCTTTATTTACAAAATAATTAATAGAATTATGATGCCTAATCATATCAAATAAATCAGTTTGTTAAACATTGCCCAATTTAATTATTGTTAATAAGTTTCATCTTCAAAGCATTTTATGTAAAATAATTGGTTTTAGCCATCCAGTGAGGGCAGAAAACATCTCTTACCCAAATCCCAAAACTACTGATACTGTGAGTTCCACTACTATGTCTTTAGGGTCCTTCCCAGGCTCTCAGAATGCTTGGGGGCATACACAAACACATAACCAAACAAAGCACCTTCTTCTACATGACTTTTTCATTCTTTGAAGAGTGTTTAAATTTATTAAGCTGCATGATGGAGTTTGGGAGTGCTTAATTTAGAAAAATTATTTAGGTACACATGTTGACATACTTGTTTAGATAGTATTGGAATTTGTATTCCTACATTCTAATTAAGAATCATGTTATACAGGGAAGGGGAATATGAGCTAGAATTCTTTAATGCCTACTATGTGCTAGACGTAAGGGTATTGGTCTGGCCTCTAACCTGAGACTCTCTCTTGATTTTTATGATGAAACCAGTGTGTTTGCAAGCTTGATGAGGGTCAGGACCACTGAGAATTTGGAGTAGGAACCAGGAAAGTGATGAAGACGAAGGCTGAGAGAAAACTGAGTGGAATATCTCTGCTTCTTACCTTCAGGGTTAGAAGTTAAATAAATTGAGTTAAGATTAAATTTATTGAGTGCTCACTCTCTATTTATACTATGCTAAACACTTTGTTTAGATCTATCAAATTTAATTTTTGCAAATGTGAAAGGATCGATTTGGGAACTTGTCAGGATAGCATAGCTATTGAGTGGTACAGGTGAAATTCTAGCATAGGCAGATAGACCCTACAGAGAAAACTTCATTTTATAGAATACTGACATTGCTGGAGCTATCGAGTCCAACCAAAAATTCCAGATCTTTCATGACATGTTCTTTTAAAGGTTTCTAAAACTAAAATAGTTTTCAAAAATTTCACTCTATTATATAAACATAAATGTTTGATTTTTCATGGTAGGTTAGAGCAAAGAACAGAGTTTGAAGTCATAACTTACAAGCACAAATCCCATCCCAATAATGGAATTTTCCTTCATTTATCCCAACAATCAAAAGGCATCTATCTGTAGAGATTAATTGCCAAATGTGGTTATAAGTAAGAAGCAAACTGTAGTCACTGGTATTAAAATTTCCCTTTCCAGTTGAATTTTAACCTAAAGAGGTAATAAATTAATGCATGACAGTCAGGGAAAGCAAAAGAGACATTCAGATTTTCTCTACTTTCCCTTCATTTTTAATGTTGGGATTTAGGTAAGACTCCAGAAAAATTTTATTTTTAAGATTATTTTTTGACCCACTGAGTTTTAAGTAGATTACGCAGATCATTTTATTGATTATACTGATGTTGGCTTTTTGGCCAAACCACTATTAAATGCATTATCCAAATGCACTACTTCTGTTGAGAATGGCAATTTGTGTTATTTCCAAATTTAATGAGTCTGCTGTATGTATATTTACTTTGGAGAGTTTAAATAATATTCTCTAATGAAAATAATGTTAATTTTCTGAAAGTGATTTATTTGTTCTACCCTTTGAGATTTTTTAAAGCTTTCTTGAGATAAGAAAAAACAAGGTATCACAACATTATGCTCTGGGATCCTTAGCCTAAACCATCCAGTTTTTGGTCATATAACCAGAGGTACCCATGGAAGGAAGGAAGGTTTTCATAATAACCATTGGGGACCCCAGTGACACTATACAAAAAGCTTTTTACTTGGCTTACATTCATACCTGGCTTTTATATTATCATTGCAGTATTATTTAATTGAAGTCATAATTGTACTACAACTAAAAGCACTTAGTCAAAGAACAATTGGCCCAGATGTTGGTCAGGGTTATAACTGAGGGAAAGGAAATAGGGAGGGCTAAGGAGAGCCAGTGCCTCCTCTTAATGTGCTTCCTGTGTGTGATGCTTTTAATAGTACAGGCAAATGAGCAAATAGGAAGAAGAGCTAGCACACTATGCAAAATCACAAGACAGATTAATTTTTAATTCCATGTCAAAGAAAGTTTGGTAGACCTGAGTCTAATACTGGCACGTGATGTCACAGCCATGCATTGTCATTTCGTACAAAAACCAGATGTACTTTCATCTAAAATAAAATTATTTAACATAAACCCCAATTTAGAAAAATAGCAGTGAGGACTTGTTTTTTTATCGCTGTGGGAATGTTTTCATGTTGTGATTCTTGGA